TATATTTATTTCTTGCTGAGAGTGAGTCAAGAAATTACAAGGTGCAGTATTCTGGGATGAAAAATCAATGGGATATTTTGAATCCCTAATGTATTCCTGCTGTGGGACACCTCCTTATTACTGCAAAAAGGGATTCCATAAGGAATCCTTCTCCTTGTGGCTCTCATGGCTTGGAAATCCACACGGAGTCCCTCCTTCCCCAGTTCCCTGGGGGGGTCTGTAAGGGCTCTGCTGTAGCTGTATCTAAGCGCTGGTCTTGTCTCTCGCTTGCTGGGTGGAAGTACCATGTGATGGAGAGCAGGTTTTGTGTGTCAGCAGCCATCCTGGCTGCACTCTTGTGATGGCAAGCAGAGTATAAAAGGCTGAAACCAGAAGCTAAGGAAGAAGGGTCGTACATTTATATGGCAACCCTCTTTGGGGAAACAGGGCATCTCTGTCGCACTCCAGCTCAGCACCGTGACAGCATTATCGTCTCAGAGAGGAGAGAATTCTTGAGGGTGGGTCTTTCCCTGTGTTATGGTGGGAGTCTGGATAATAATRTTGGCAGCTACTCTAATAGGAGTAAGGTGACCCAGCAGAGAAATTAGTTTTTAATTTTATGAAACAACTGCATTGATCTCACCCTCTGTGCTGTATACACTGCACACAGCCAGCTAGATGCATTGCAAAGGTTATTCCTCTTTCGTTACAGTATTTACACTATTTCACTACACTAATTACCTCTCATAACACTGCATAAATTTGCCCCACCACAAAACATAGCACAGCAGCTTACGTTATCCTTAGTCAGTACTGTCAGATCGCGTAAGCTGAAAAATTACAGGAAAGTTTACAACAAGATGACAGCAAGAGATTAATGCAAATTTTAGATTTTCCAACTGCCACAAAATCTCAAGAGAACAAAAGAGGACTATTTTAGATTCAGGCATCAGAGCTTAGTAAGGGTTGAAATATTAGTAGAAGACCAGAGATTGGTCCAGATGGCTGAGGGTAAAGGCCAAGCCAAGCATGCCTRAAACACTCCAATTTAAACAGAGTAAGTGGGACTTGGGCTTGGGTCTGTGTTTCTTAAAGGACTTTAGAGAACAGTCTTTCCTTCGTCTTGCCAATTGAAAAACCAAAACACTAAACATAAAAGCCTCAAGTACAGGGTAAGGAACAGCAGCAGTATAGCTCATTCCTTTCCATGTTACACTGAGYTCAGCATTTGCTGCTCTGGCACAAGCAGCAATACCTTGGTGGCCATGTGTGTTGTGGGTGGGGCTAGATCCCTTGGAGTTGGTGGCTCTAAGAGCAGCTCCCACTCTGGATCCCTATAAAGAAGTGACTTGCAGGGCATAATAAAATAACTAAAATGAGTTTTTCTCCTCCCTTAATGCTGGCATTCACTGTCAAAGGTGCTCTTTCCATTCCACACACCCAGGAGCCTGTGCTRCCTGTAGGTACTGCTGGCAAAGTGGGTGTGGTGCACTGGGAGCACTGGTGGGACCATAACCCTATGACAYTGTGACCTTGATTCACCTCTGTTTAGAAAGGCACACGTGCAGCCCCAAAATGGGYTTCACTGTCAAATGTTTTGTGAGGATGTCTATCTGAGAGGCCAGCAGCTTTGAGACATCAAGCAACAAGGGGCATCAGGCATGAAGGGACAGGAGCACCCATTYGCGGGGAATATCACACAGTGCATCCTTTTCATCTCCCTGCTGGCTGGTAGGGGCTTGGAGCCATGGCATGGCAGCTTGGGAATTGGAAATCACTTGTCTTCTGTGTCTGCACACATCTGCTGTCTTGGCAGGTTAGGGCACGCTCGTTTTCTGGCTTGCCTTCAGCAAGGCACGAACAATCTGAGTGGTTCTTGGAAAGCACCAATGATAACTTTCTCATACAAGAGGTGGAGAAGCCAATGACAAAGGGTGTGGTGTTGTATCTCTTACCAGCAACAACTCTTTGAAAGGTTGTAGTGGCCAGGAGAGGTGCCTGAGAGCTGGAAGAAAGAAAGTATCACCCAGTAAAAGGACAAGAAAGAGGATCCAGGGTTCCACAGGCCAGTCAGCCTTACCTCAATTTGAGGTCAGGCAAGTCAGTCACTATTCAGGCTGGGTTAGGGTTGATTTGGATATATTCTGTGTTAATCATCTAATCTTCGGTGATTAGGGCCATTGCCAAAGCAATTTCATTGAGGATTTTATTCTCTGTCTGGACACTTTCTGTTGGTAATACCTGTCCTATCCTGCATACTTGCATCAACATCTAGGCTGCCTAGGGAGAAGACGTCCCAGAAGGTGATGTGGGTCAAAAGGCAGTCTTCAAAGAATCCAGTGATCAAATTATATCACTGAATGCAAAACGATCAGCCTCCAGCAGAAAACATGTAAGAAGGAGGGAAGTGTACAGAAATGTACAGAAAAAAGGTCCAGCATGGTTCCTGTCCTACAAAGAGTTTCCACTCATCATAGWGGTGAGATGCCAAAAATTCATTGACTGCAAGACAATTATGTCTTCTGCAAACTCTAACAAATTAGTACTTWCTTTGTATTTGTATGTTTACTTCAAAGTAGTGTATTTGTTAAAAGACACTTTGAAAACAGTTTGCAGTAGGGAAAAAAATGGTAGCTAGGTGAATGAATGCTCCACAYCTTGTCTTGTATGCTGACCTTCATGAACTAACTTTTTTTGGGTGTTTGCAGTKCAGAGATAAATAGAAATCTGTGTGAACAAAGCTTCACCCATAATGTCTGAAAGCTAGGGACTGGACTGCTTCTCATTATTGTGTGGGCTGCTGGGGGACCTCATCTCAGCAGAGGCCTTGGGGCATGACTATGAGTGAAAACAGATGTAAATACAATTATCTGTAAACTGTATGCAACTCAGCTTTGTCAGGAAAAAACCTAAACGCAACTCCCAACAAGCAGCAAACTCTGGAAGAGTAACTCCCAGAGTTACTCATAACCCTGGGGAGTAAAAATTAAAGAGACATTTTATTTTTATCAGTTAAGCCTGGAAAATGCTTGGAATCAAAGAAGGTTTGGTGTSACCAGCATTTTGTTTTCACTGATTTCACTGTAAATAGAAACATCTTTCCATGAYGGACACAGATGACCACCAGCTTCACACATATATTGTTTGTTTTGTGGCATATGTAGCTGGAGCTTGTGCCCTTTTGCCCATGTATCCTCTCTGCTTTCATTTACTGCGTAAATTTACATCCTTTCAGTTTAGATTTGTGGAGTTGTGACCCTTAACAAAAATATATAGAGTAAAGGAAATCAAAGATTAAGAGTACTTTGGTACTCCCCAAAATGCAAAGGCATTATTAGCAGTTAACAGCCACTGCAGGCTGTGTAATTTCTAAATGCTACAATTGGCAAGTAAAAGGGAAGTATTAATTTTTGCACTGGCATGGATGGTGCAGTTTCAAAGCTCTTATAACACATYCCTTACGGGAATCCAGCAATCTCTGGTCAAATCCCTCCGTGAAGAGAATTTTTCCCTAAAAGACCAAGTTGCATTTCTGTGGAGCAGTTTAATTGGATGTGTCTGGACTTAAACAAAATAATACTTGTAAGTTCAGCCATGAATCAGTATTTCTCTGCTCCGTGGTAGGATTATTGTTGTTTCATTGTTGCCCTCTTGTTTTGCTTTGCTGCCATTGCTAGCTCTAGAATTTTTGGAATATCTTTAACACCTTCTGTGAGTGTCTCTGCCTTTATTCATCCTCCAGGGAGCACTTGCCTAGGGATCTTTGTTCCTAATGACCCATGRTATGTCCCCAAGGTAACTTTGCTATTCTAAAGCCAGCTAAACCGTAGGGATTCACACACACACAGCACCGGTCAGCTTTCCTCCATTTGCTCCTCAGAGGAGGCACTGCTGAACCATCTATGCTCATTGAAGAAACAACTGTTAAATGTGGTTTAAGTCAAGAGTTTCAGCAAATAAAGGAAATTCCAGAGATCTCAAAGTACCTTTTACTGTGATATGTTAYGACTGCACATTCCCTTTCCTCAAACCATGTAGTTTAGTGCAAAGCTCTTGTCCACTCTGCTGATAAAATGATGAAAAGTATGTGGAGTCATGTTCCAAGAGCATGATCATCAATTTGGCTCTTCCTGGACTGATTATTCATCTTTTTCTCTTCTGCTCATACAGATGCTGCCCACACATCAGCCCTTCCACAATGGTAAACCTCTTCGCTCTTCATATAAATATTTGTTCTGGAAAAACAGGCAGTACTAATGACTTGACATTTTTGGAAAACATGATGTAGGCCTTGGTGGTAGGATGGGGCAAGACAGGGTGAGTCAGGAGATATTGATTCTGGCGCCTTAAATCTTCGTAGAAAATGAGCACTCATTTTCTGTCTTTCATCTTAGTCAGAAACCTGGTGGCTATCAAGACATTTCTGGAGATCTGTGGAAGTACCCCACTGTCATATTTCCCTACAGAAAGGCACTTTTAGTCACCAGGGCCAACCTCTTTTGCTCCAGCAAATGCAACTGTTAAGAAAAGAAATACTATCAGCAGKACAACAGGTGGCATATTGCAGCCAATCTTGAAAAGTTATAATRGGAGGGAGTGTGTGTGAGTGAGARGAGAAAAAATGGAAAAGAGGGYGACTAAGCTGAAAGAAAACACAGTGACAAGCATTTTTTCCACTACTTCACTTAGAGGTTGCTGGAATAAAGGTCTGGTGACTTTGCAGCACTGTGGTAGAGTACTGCCCTGGGAAGGCATTTGCCCATTGTGCTGCTCTCTGTTTGCTCAGAAGGAATTCAGAAGGGATTTGCTTTCTCTTGTTTCATGAGCCCCACGCTTTCACCCTGACCAAAGTGGATACACACCAGCTGGCCACGTCCATCACCACTGCTGGGTGGGAGAATTCCTGATTATACTTAGATCCCTCAGACCCCMCTCTGTCACTTGCCGAGAAGCTCTGCTTGCGCGCCGCTTCCGAAATGCAGCCGGCTGGGAGGTCCGCACGCCTCGCCTGAAGGAGCTGGATGCCTTCTGGATCAAACATGAATGACCTGCTGAAGGTGCCCCTGGTGCATGTCCTCACCCTGGCAGCCCTCAGCTTGGCTGAAACACTTCTGAAAGGTTTGCTTAGAGGGGCTTTTCCCCTGCTCTTCCTCTGCCGTTTCCTGTAGGAGGTTTTGAAAAGGGGAAARTGTCTCTGGTTATGGAGGGGTGGGTGGTACTGTAGAGTTCACGAAAAATTCAAAAATAGTCTGCTTTCAGTGGTCACTTCACTGCTTTTAGGATAGCAGTGAAAATATTCTCATGTTTGAGTCTGGAATTGAAGGTTCTTTGTGTATGAACAGCACATAGTGCTTTGTAACATGCAGGGGAAACCTTTGGGTTCAGCCTGGGTGGGATGTACATTTCTCCTGTGAAGGGAAGCTCAGAAGTGTTAATGCTGGCAGCACCAGTTGCTGCACAGCCCAGGATTTGCCATGTTCAGCACACCTTATAAGTATATAAATCTTCAAAAGAAGTAAATAACTATGATGTCTTTACAAAGAATAYGTATATAAATACAAATACACACTGTTTGTTACTGCACATAACAGAAGTTCTCATACCTTCTTCTTACCTTGTGGATACGGGCATATGGACAAATACTTTTAGCCAACAAAACAATTGGAAAAAAATCTGTTTAGAAAAGTCTCTGAGATACAAAGAACAGCCTTGGTCTTCTGGATGTACCAGCTGGTAAACCTATGAACAACAACTGAACGGTGATTGTCCAGYGTGATTCAGTGCTTGCTAGAGACTTTGCAGCTTCAGGAAAGCAAATCGAAATCTTAAGAGGGATGCCAGTATTTGCACATTAGGCCAACTATGCTGCACTTGAWGGGCTGTGCTTTTACAGCTGTTAGTCAGGTTATTCTCAAAATGAAAAAAGGAAATAATATATCTCCTTAATAAAAATGTTTTGAAGCAAAAAACTCAACATTTTCCTAAGGCACTGAAATAGGTTGGTGAACTCTAGTCTATCTGAATGTTGTTGTAAGACAAGAGGTATTGGAGAGACAAGAAAAACCGAGAAGACCAGGGTAAATCTTCTTTTTCTGGTTCACAGTGCAATGAATAGGTACATACCCTTTTCTAGGACATCACAGCTGAGCAGTTTTTGACCAGAGGAACTGCAGTTTCCTCGTGCCGGCAATATTTCAGAGGGACTTGTTCTGTTTTCTGCATTGTTTTGTTTGCCTGGCTCATCTGGTTTCAAAAGTGTGAATCCTAATCCAAAACCAAGCAATTTGGAAGCTTCTGGTGGGCTGTGGATAGAGGAGGATTAAGCTTTCTCATGGTCCCGTGACTGGCCTTGTGTCATTTTTCTATCTCGGGAAACTRCGGCTGACATCCAGAAAAATGGCATCTGTGTGGCTTTACACATATATAAATTAATTTGTTTTCAATTTATTCAAAGCCACAAGGGTACCTTAAAATATCAGAAAGCTGCAGTATACGTGCATGGAAAGGCCTGGCTCCATTTCTATATGCTGTTTGATACGTCCGTACATTGTTCAGATTTTATTTTCCTAGKATGAAATTTGGTAATGCAGGCATCATAAATGAAGAGTGCTTTCTGGAAAAAAAACATGAACTGATACCAGCACCAAAACTGTTTGGATGGCTTTTAGATGTGAGCACCATCTCAGCCATTTTGGGGCTCTGTTGCGGCCTCACGAAATGACGGCGTGTTCCGCTGCCCACTGTCCATACTTGGGTTAAATATCAAAAAAGTGAAAAGAGGGTATGAGAGAATGACACATCCCTGCTGCTGTCATGGTTGCTCTCTGAGGGTATAAAATTTGGGAAGGTAGCTTTAAAAAAGTTTATTTTCCTGTTACTATAGTGCTGTCAGATTGAACAATATTTTCTTGCAAGCATGAGCTTGATTCTGTCCAAAAGTCTGTAYTCTGCCTTTCAAGATGTACCAGGTCAGACTACATCTGTGCAGTATTCTGTCATCTATTGAATTAAGGACACATCATAAAAGTATTTAATTGCTTCTAGAGAATCTGTTTAATATAGAAATCTGGCAGGTCTTGTTTGCCCAAAGAAAAAAATACTGTCATTATGCATTCTGGCTCTYGGTACAAATATAACTTTATTACTTGTGAGAATGGCTTTGTTTATCATCGCAACAGTTATAAAACTGATTGCTTTGAATTATCATTACTGTAAAAATTTACATTTCTCAAGGTTAGAAAAGCATCCTTCCAGAGATCAAGGAATGTGGACAGCAGCAACAAAAACATACTATACAAAATTAGATTGCAAAACTCTGGGATTAATGCCATCAAACCCCAATAAACTCTGTCACGAAATAGCAACGTCTCATGTGAAGCAGACAGGATAACCATCAGTAGGGGTTATTCTCCTGAGACAACCTTCAGTAGGAAAATTTTGGCTTTATGGAAATCTTCCATTTGGTTTCACTGCATGGGATTCATCTAGGATACAACACAGATGATTATTTCTGTGTAATGTAACCCAAAATGACCTATTAAAGTGATGCACTATACAATTTGAAACAGTGATCTTAAACAATGATTTTGTCTTAGACTTATTTCAGTTGAAGTTTCATTCATATTTTCAGTGCTATCTTAGCTATAGTTTAGAGATTTATGTAAGTATAGTAATTATTTTTAATCAACAATACAATCTGAGGTAACATAATCTAGAAATAATATTGAAACAGATTCACTCTAATGAAATGGCAAAAGTTTAGATTTTTATTATAAACCTGATAGTGGAAGCTGATCCTTTCTTCCTCTAGCTTCTTTCCAAAGAACTCCAAAGACACTCAATTTTGATTTTCATGTAATGGGAAAAAGCATTAAGGTACAGACTTTCTCTTATTCTCAGTCTCTTAAACCTGCATTTCTTCTCTTTTGCCCTTTCCTTAGGGAGGGAAGGGTAAAATTAATGTAGTTGATTTTTTGCCTGAATTTGAATTGTATTGTACTAAGGAGAGCCAGTAGATACACACTGGTTGAGATTCTCTGTGAAAAAATAAAGGACCAGATACTGCCACACTCAGTGAGGAACAGGAAGGCTCCTGAATCCATGATACATTTTCAAGGTAGGGTTTCAGGAATATGGTAAAATTAGTTTATCTCAACATAATTGTCAATGAAATCCAGTCCAACAAATATGGGTGTGTGTCACTTCCATCCATAGACCAAGTCACTCAAGTGTTTTTGGGGGCAGTGGCTGCAATGAATGCCATGAGCAGGGAAAGTGAGTGGCTGGGCTTATGCTTTGATCCCTTCCAGCTGTGATTCAAGTCTTTCACCAGAGCTATGGCAAATGTTTCTAAAGATACATTCAAGTAATGTATGACAACAGGTCTGTGACAATAAAGACATAGACATAGCTATTTCACTTTTAACCTTCACCAAAGGCAGCTGGTGTGCTATGTAACTCTCTCCAGGAGGCAACATAAGGCTTTCTCATTTTCTCTTCTTCACACAGCACCCTTGATCAGCACTCCTYTGGAAACAGTGGATGCACTGGTAGAAGACGTTGCCAAATTTGTCTGTGTAGTGGAGTCGTATCCTGAGCCAGAGATCACCTGGACGCGCAACAGCATTCCCATCAGGTAGGGAGAAGCYCCAGCCCTCGCCAGCATCTTCTGCCAAAACTGGCACTGCTTTCTTTCATGACAAAAGAGATATCTGGAAATATAAAATTGGGTCTCTGGCAGGAGAGAAAATGARTAACTGGAATTACATAGGATTCTGTGTTCGTTAGGGAGAGATAAGAGCACTTGGGGGCTGCTCTTGCTCCTTCACACTCTTGAGCATGCAGAGAGTTGGTTTCTGCTGCARGCTATGCAAGGATATTTCTCTCCAGCTTCAATTCAATCTGCTGTGTTCCTCAGTTTATGCAYTTACAAAGGGGGAGGACATCTTATTAATAATGTAATATTTAAAAGGAGCTTAGCAGAACTTGTCTGTCTCAAGGTGCTTGGAAACTTTGCATGGAAGGGGTTTCRCTTCTAGTTCTAGAAATTTGTACGGGCTGTCAGACATTAACCATCAAACATCAAGATTTCAACCAAGAAGGCAGCCTTCTGGAGGTGTGGAAATATATTTTATGGAAGATGTTACCATTGCTTTTCCTCTTTTGCTGAACACAGGGTTTTACAAAGTAGACTGTACTTGGTCTTCTAGCTCTGAAATCACATCTGTCACATGGCTTCACATCAATTTCTCATTCTAAATGTCTGTTATTGACTCTCTCTGTAAGGGAAAATTACAGCACAAACTTTGTGTAACATGGTGAACACCCATTCTCCACAGCAGGTGTCCATGTTGGGCAGATGGTCACCTGAAGCRTGGTTTTCTCAYTGTTTTGGTCAAACATCCAAACAGYCTTTGAAMCACWGGAATAGGAGACTCCAAATAAGTCAGCAGCAGAAGGAGGTCTTACTGCTTGGAAAACCATTTTAGAGTAGGACAACAGAGAAAATTACACATGTAGGCCTTCAGAAATATTTTTGTTTAATTGTGTGCAACCTCAGCAGAAKTTTTTTCCTAATCTTCTGACCCTTGCTCTGTTGCAGCAGGGAGGYCTGAACTTCCAAGGATGTTATTTCCAAATCAGGTTACTTTTCTCCTAATTTCTTCCCCACTAGTGACATCAAGACTGAAAATCAAAACAGGAAGAGAAAGCCATCCCTGCAGGACTGTGTCTTTCTCTCCCCATGTCTTCAAAATGATTACTCTCTACWTGATCTAAGATATATGAAAACCAGATCATTTTCCACCTCAATCCCCTCTTCCAGAAGTCCAACACACCTCTGCCAGTAAAGCCAGWGAGCTCAGGTGCTTCATTTCTTTACTGGGATTCCTGGAGCAGCAGCAACAGCAGCAAGTGTTTCATAAAGCTGTAGCATTAATATTCAGTATTGCTGGATACTAAAGTTCAGACCAAAGACTGGGGAATAGATAAGCTGAATATATTTCTGTTACTTTCTAAAAACTTAGATGAAAGTATTTGCACAATGGAAAAGGACCAGATGAGAAAAAAAAAAAAAAGGAAAGAAACCCCATATAAATGTATTTCTTTGTCTGTGCGTATATCAAACTTCAAAGGGATTAATTACTGCAAGCAATTAATTTAAGTTATTTAATTTCCAAAATTTTCTTCTCTTGCCAAGGTCCCAGTATCCTGGACAGACAGCAGGGTTAACCTGCAAAACGAAACAGGATGTAAACTTTCAACTTCAATGGGAATAGGGCCAGGATGGCGACTACAGTCAGCATTAGGCTTCTGGAAGTGCCTTTCCTTTTGACATCAAAACTTGCACGAGTAAATCAGCAATGTGCTGACTGAATGGTTACCTGTCCCATCTTCCAGAACAGGGCTGCCCACAATAAACCTTCCTTTGGGAAAGAAGGGAACAGAGTCATCCTATCATCCTGTCTCACTATGGATGAGCTCACGGCACTCTTTCTTCCCATAATGAAAAAGGGGAGGGAGACTGAATGCTGAAATGCTGTTGAAAGGAAATAAGTGCCTGTAACATCAAGAATAGAACGTTCAGATTAGTCAACTGTACAATTTTTAACAGCAAAGGACAAAACTTGACTTATTTAGCCGTCAGACATTTGTGATTTCTTGAGACACAGTCCTCAGGTCAGAACCCTTTTGCCAGTGCTCATTAGAACTGAAGTCCAATTGCATTAAAGTGCTTCCTAAAAGCATCAACAAWGGTGTGAAAGCAGAAAGAAATTTATTATTTGTAGTGTTTATTTATATTATTTATTTGTATTTATTATACTTTTGCAGTTTTGCAATGAAAATCAGCCCTCTGATTTCTCACCATCTTTCTTTCTGCTTTCCCTTGCATCCCCCCAACAAACACACACACACACACACACACACACACACACACACATACATTCACACACCCCACTCTTTTCCGGTCGTGCTCACATATAAAATTGGTTTTTGCTCCACATAGTTTGTTACAATATCCTGTATCTGAAGCTCCAGCTTCAGGGCTTTTCTTCACTTCTCTGAAATCTCCAAGTTGAAAAAAAATAGACAAAACCTCTCCAGGATGTAGACACGAGAAATGCATGGTTTTTGTTTGTGTCCTTTTTTTTTCACAACAGTAAAAATATTTCCATAACTTTATCTATTTAGTTGAAAAAAAAATTATTCTTTTATTTTTTTTTTTTGCCTGAGGAAGGTTTCTGTAAACAACTTCAGCCAGCACTTTTTCCTATATGAGCAGTATTTCTCTTACGTTGAGCAATTATACCTAAAACAGGACCTAGCTGGAAAAGATTATTTTTGATCATGCCTGTCCTTGGCCAGTCAAAGTCCCAAAAATGATACCTACTTACTTTACTGATGTCTGGATGGAGGAAGACTTACTGTTACACTAGTGGCAGTCAGGAAGTGCATGAACCAGTGAGAATCTGAATCTTAAGGCTGAACTCAGCATTTTCARCACCTTCCCTTGTCATCGCTGGTTGAAAATAAAAGGGAAAGCTTGTTGCAATTTGTAATGCCATCAGCAGCCCACGCATTCAAATACAATTCCTTCTCTCAGCCCCTGGTTGTCCATGACAATCTGTCRGTGACAATCTGTCCGTGCTGTGCCCTGCAGGCTGTTTGACACACGGTACAGCATCCAGAGGAACGGGCAGCTGCTGACCATCCTGAGCGTGGAGGACAGTGACGATGGGGTGTACTGCTGCACGGCAGACAACGGGGTTGGAGCAGCTGCGCAGAGCTGCGGGGCTCTCCAGGTGAAAATGCGTAAGTGGGAATGCARTTTCTTCCTGAAAGAAGCCATGTGAGCGTTTGATCGAAAGCCTGAGTAGACTCTCACTCCGTGCGGCTCCTGGGGACCCACGTTCAGGGCAGACCTGTGCTCTTGAGAGGCTGGGTGCAGTCCTCKGAGGCAGAAACATGCCATATGGGGTCATATCTGAATTTAATGCAGTTGTGATAATTCACTTTGGATAACAGGCACTTGTGTGAGGATCAGAGGACAAAACCCGATGCTTTGGAGGATGCTCTTTGTGTAAAACTCTGTAAAAGARGCACAGTTAGACAGAGCAGACCTCMGTGGCTCTACAACATRGATCTCAYGTGAATTTTAGACTTAAGATTTCACTAAGCAAATTTCTGCCTGAGGATGGTAAAAGCAAGTAAATTACATTCAGATGCTCTCAATAGCAGTGTTRAATAGTCTGGAGCACCGTGTTGTAAACCACATTATCCCACATGGAAGGCGAAGGACTTGCTCTTKCAAAGAGCTGTATGTGTGCCAAACTCAGTAAAGCTGGAGTCACATGGCTGGAGTTATCCACACAAACACTTTAAAGGGCAGCACAGATATTTTCTGGTCTGTTAGTAGGAAAGGATTTGTTTGTGCTAATTAGATGGCCCTCCAGGACTGGTAATTCTGGGGCTCTGCAGCATCTCAGTCAATTGCAGGAGGTGGCCAGGAGATGATGCTCTCTGAAGCGTGTTTTTCTGCTGGTTCATTATCACGCAGAGGACTCAAAATGCCACCTCTCCCAGAATACTGAGATGATGATCTTTTATACTCTCAGCTCAGAGTAAGAAAGACMATGCTCCTTTTTCAGTAAAATTAATTTAAACGTGTGGCTTATTAACTCTAAGGAAGTTTGATTGCTTTTGTTTTAAGGTTCTATTGTGCTTTTCACTGGCATAGCTATAAACGTTTCAATCAGGAAAATTAATTGAGTTTACACGCCCTTCTTGTTGAGCTAGAGGCAAGCCTGGGTTAAAAGTATTTCAKAATCAATTCAATCCCGATCTGAGCTTTCAGACAAGACATTGTTTACACAGTGAAGAATGTCAGAACCTGGAATGCTAACATTCTTCAAAACTGGAAATACTCTTATCTGAATTTGGATTTTAGCCCAGGCCCTAATTCAAATGACTGTCAAACTCCACTCAGGAAAACAAATAACCCATGCAAGTTAGCTTCTTTTGTATCCATAAACTGAAACTGAGTGCTGAGCAGAAGGAAGTTCTTTTTTATCAAGGCAGTTCATGACCAAAAAAGACTGCTCTATCTTTCAACAACACACAGAAAGAGCAAGCAGAATTTTTGTTGTAATTTCTGAAATKGTCTTGTTCTATTATCTCTTCACTTCATTTAAAATTTGATTTTTGGCTTTTAAAATTTTAGGACCCAAAATAACCCGTCCACCAATAAATGTGGAAATAATAGAAGGGTTAAAGGCTGTTCTTCCATGCACTACAATGGGGAATCCGAAACCTTCTGTTTCATGGATCAAGGGAGAAACAATTGTAAAGGTGAGTAGAGAATGCTTTCTGGTAATGTTAATTTTTTGTTAAAGGTACTGTGTTAAATACTGGCATTAGTTATGGTATTTGTAAATTCTAATTGCTAGCAAGCAAGTATTTGGAAAATCCAGGGTTCATCTCATAAGTATCTTAATCTGCAATAATTCTACATACAACCCAAACATTCTCTGTGTTTCTGTATGATATKATATGATTTATACGATATATACTGAGTGTGGCCAAATACTGATGAAAAGGCTTGTGATTTTTCTCATAAAGAAGAGCTCTTTTGAAGCTATAATTCACTGATTTGCAAAAATAGAGAAGGGTTTGTATGGCATGACAAAGCTGAGCAGGAAGAACTGACCACAAATGCTTCAGCTGTAGGACCCGACATATAATGTTCGTGAACGTAAGCCCAATCCTTTTGATGCTTTTTGTGTGTGCACACTCCTCACCTTAATTTCTTCTTCCTCTGGCAGGAAAATGCCCGCATTGCTGTCCTGGATTCTGGGAATTTAAGGATACACAATGTTCAGAGAGAAGATGCAGGACAGTATCGTTGTGTAGCCAAGAATAGTTTGGGCACAGCCTATTCCAAACCTGCAACTGTGGTCGTGGAAGGTGAGTAGCTTTTGACCCAGGCTCCAGCTCCAGGTGCCAGCCCCTTGTGCTTACCCAGTTTAACTTGAATTTACCTGAAGGATCATGTTTGATGTCGACAAAATCATCCTAGGGAATGATGAAAAAGGAGGGAGAGGTTCGGAGAGGTTCGGAGAGGTTCGGAGAGG